TATATATATATATATATATATCAATCATTGTGAGTAATAATTAAGATGACTAGTTCAAGACTCATTTCAGTTTCAGAAAAGATTATTAAGCCATTCTCTGCCACCCCATCTCCCCTTAGACATTACAAGCTTTCTCTTATTGATCAACTCATGAGTACCATGTACATTCCCATAGCTTTCTTCTACCGTAGACCTCTAGAGCACAAGATCATCAATAAAAGTTCCAAACTAGAAGTATCTCAAACTCTCGAGAAATCTCTATCGAAAACCTTAAGCTCTTACTATCCATTTGCAGGAAAGTTGAAGGATAATCTATCCATTGAATGCAATGACATGGGAGCCAAATTCTTGAATGTTGAACTGAATTGTTCTATGTCTGAAGTTGTCAATCTTCCGGATACTGGTCCTGAATATTTGGCCTTCCCTAAAAATTTACCTTGGAATAGTACTTCATATTATGAGGGTACTAATTATTTTGTTGTGGCTCAATTAAGTCACTTCAGATGTGGAGAAATAGCAGTCAGTGCATGTTTATCGCACAAGATTGGAGACGGGTGTACAGAGATTAATTTTATGAATGACTGGGCAACTATTGCCCGTTCTGCTACTTCATCAAATTATGCGATAAGTAGGCTATCAACACCACAATGGATTGGTGCGTCTATTTTTCCACCAACCTACGATGATCATTCTTCAGCTATATCACGTATTACCCCTAATACACTACCTTATATAACAAAAAGGTATGTTTTCTCCTCTTCTAAACTCAGTGCTCTCAAGAAATTTATGGCATCAGATTCAGGAGGAGTGCAAAATCCGACACGTAACGAGGTTGTGACAGCACTGCTCTATAAGTGTGCTAATATGGCTACATCAAGGTCGAGTTCAGGATCAGGTTTGTTTAAACCATCTGCACTTATCCAGGTTGTGAATTTACGACCAAGACTCAATCCCCCTCTCCCCAATAACTCCGCAGGCAATCTTATTTCATCAATCTTAATAAAATCAACAGACGAAGAACAAATGAAGGTTGCAAGAATCGTTCAAGATTTGAGAAAAGAAAAAGAACAACTTAATATGAAACATGATCTTGTCAATCAAAATGGTGTAGTACTCTCAGCACTTGAGTATTTGAATGATACTATGGATGTGTATTGTTGTAGTAGCTTGTGCAACTACCAATTATATAATGTGGACTTTGGATGGGGTAAGCCTGAAAGAGTAGTTGTAACTAATGGTACTATAAACTTCTTTTTGTTGTCAGATGATAAAAATGGGGATGGAATAGAAGTACTTGTTAGTTTAGGAAAAGAAGTCATGTCTGAATTTAACAATAACAAGGAGCTTCTAGAGTTTGCTTTTCCTGTCTCTAATTGAAGCAAGAATTAAACCAAAAAGGGACTGGTCTTGACATGATGTATCATTTAACTGGTCTTAGTAAAATGCCCTCACTTTTGACTTGAACATCATAGTTATTCAATTTTTAATGCTTGAAAATTTTGTATGGTGGTGAAAAATACAAGTTAGTGATCGATTATTGTTAAACTTATTTGGCTGTTGATAATTTGTGCTTAAATTTTTAGTTCAAACATAGGTTTTAGTGATTTACTATAAAAATCTCGAAACTCCATTATTGGACCTTAAAAAGTGTTGAAAAAGACTAAGTGGATCTTTTTGATTTAGTGTTGTCACACCTCCTTTTTTCCGAGAGGTAGGGGATAGGGAGTTTTTCTAATTTAAGTGACATTATTCGAAATGAGATTATTTATTTATTCAAAGTCGCCACTTGAAATAATTTATGGTGTCCCAAGTCACCGATTTATTTTAGAATCCCAAATCG